GTGGGGCCCTCCCCAGCCACAAGGGGCTGCGGGAGAAACTGGAGGTTTGGGAGCTGGCACAGGAGCGGCCACCAGGCAGTCGATGACTGTATAGAATGCCAGGCAGATGAATTGGCCCTGCTTCAGCAGCTCCCGCCAGGTATCACAGTTCAGCTTCTGGTCCTCCTCCAGTCCTGCCAGTCCATGGAGCACTGCAGGGCAGTGCCATGCTCCCTCTGGAGGTCTTTGTGGGCTCTCTGGCATGGGTGGATCATGCAGGGTGAGAGTGACAACCCAGGAGGTGGCAACCACTCCCCTCATGCAGCTGGTCCAGCTGTGGAGAACAAAGAGAAGGGCAGTCATCCCAGGGGACAATGAGCATGAATCCCAGCCCTCATCTCTGAGCTGAGATCGTGCTCACAATAAGGGCCAGAAGGCTAGAATCCATGTTTTCTCACTGCAGTTGCTTGAGTTGGCACAAAAGTAAGCCTGAAATCCAGGGATGTCTGGGAAGAAAAGAGATGGCTGATGGGACATTTTTCACATTCCCAACATGCCTAGCACTATGTTGCGCTTTCCCACAGCGAAGTGAAGTGATGCAAGGCACCGCAGGATGCATACTCACAATGCTTTACTCTTTCTGTTGTGGAGGGAGCAACAAACTTGGTTAGGAGCTGTTGACAGCAGGTACCAGAAAAACCAGTTTCCAGTTTTGGTGACTTTTGCCTGTAGACAGCACTTTCGTCATCAAAACTTACAAGTGTAGAGACATAGCTTAAAAAGAAAAATATGTAGTTAGTTCTGGGCCAAGAGTAAGGCTCCTTGGATTGAACAGCTGGGAACCCTCACCCCCAGGTTTTTATCTTGGCTCTGGGAGAAGAGTGTGGGTTGTTACCTTCTCCTGCAAACCCTACGGTTTTTCCACTTTGAAACTTTTTACCTCCACTTCCCCTAGGACCAAGTCCCAGCTCTTGTCTCTTCACTCTGCTTCTGACTTCAAACCCTGTAGTGACCAATTATGTTTAGCCACGCCCAACTCCAATCCACAATCCTTTAGTAGCTCTCACTGAAACAGTATCCAACTTGAAAGATTACTAGCAGCTTCCCCTGCTGCCTTTTTGTCAAACCCCTTACCTGCTGACTGGAATACCTCCTTTCCCTGAGGCATCCTTCCACTACCCATATGCCAAGGAGGATGGGCTCCTCTGCCTCCACCCCCGAACACTGCCTCCATTACCTATTTAATCGCATCCCAGGTTGATCTCCATACCTGGAATGGGCCCTGCTTCTTTCACATTCCTTTGTCCAAAAAATCTTTTACCCCAGCTTGCCAGAATCTGCAACTACCATCATGGGAGTCAGCCATAACCCCCTCCAAGCAGCTGAGAGGATTATTGTGGAGGGGGATCTATAGGCTGCCACTCACCCGTCTGATGTGAAGCATCCAAGTCACAGCACCAAGCTGTTAGAGGGCTTATCCCTTCACTCTCCCACTTGCTTGCAACTTGCTTGAGTGCTTCCAGAAATCAAACCCACTTACCAGGTGCATCCTCCAGAGATCTCTACTGCTGCAACTGGCTTGCCTCCTCAGGATAGAAAAGAGCTTGTGACTGCATGCATCTGTGGATGCCAAGTGGTCTCTGCGTCTTGGGTTCCGCTCCCTCAGCACGCTCATCCACAATTTCCTCCCTCTGGCTCAGTACACTGTGGAATGGCTCTGGAGGCTCTGAATTAGCCACAGAGGCCTTCAAAGCAGAGGTACAGTTGCCTCCCAAGTATGTCATCCAGCTCTTTCTAGAACCGGTAGGTCATGGGCGCAGCACCAGAGCAGCAGTTTGCTTCCTGTGCCTTGTGTTAGCTGTTTCACAGCTCCTCCACTTTGTCCATGCACTGCAGTGCATCCCGGTCCTGGCCTCATTAGGCCATGCATCTTGACATGCATCCGTAGGTATCATAATTCCTACTACAGCTGGAGAGAAGCTGGGACTGGCAGCCTCTTCTCCCAAAACACCGATGAGGTCCAGCACCTCTGTATAGCTCCCAGCAGGGGATCTCCTGGTGCGTGGAGCAGGCTTGGCCAGCTGGAAAGAGGCGCTGAGAACACACCTCTTGTTGCTGAGCAAACAGGAAGGGGTCTTTCACATTTCCAAAGTAAAAGAAAGGGCAGGGCTGAGGGCTGGTCACCCAAGAGCGGGGCAGTAGAGTTCAAACAGATGACCAGAGAGGCAGGACCAGGCATTGTGGAAAGGTCATGGGAGGCCAGTCAGGACACAGTGCTACACCGCAGCGTCCACACTGGCATCCCAGCACTGTATCCAGAGCATAGCAAGCTCCACACATCTCATCCAGGTGGTTTACCTACAGCGCAGCTACTGTAGAGCTAGTACACAGCAAGTGCTTTGCCAATGTGGGCACCGCAAAAGTTACATCGCTGGGGGCTGATTTACTGCATAGTAACTGGTCAGTGTAGATTTGAACTCAAACTGACAGTAGCACTGAAGCTGGAAAGCTCCAAAGACAGACAGGAAATTTAATGGTGACCCTTTTGCACAGCAGTTGTCCGTGTGAGACCCTCCCTTACCTTAAACACTTTTTTTGTGTTTAATATTATAAATGTTGGAAAAACAAGGCTAGAGCAAGGCTCCCCCCCCAACCTCCCGTTTGAGAACTCCCCATCCGCACCTATTTATCCCTTCTGTGGACTGGGGGAGAGGTGGTGCTCAGCCACCTGGCATCTCATGCTGGGCACCAAAAGCAGCAGATGCCTCTGACTATTTAGACTTTAGGGCAGAGGCAGGGTTTTTCACTCCACAAAAGAACTTAGGCAGGCAGCCCCTCAGTGCAGAACAGGCAAGGGACTAGAGCCAGGTGCCCAAAGGGCCCAGGCAACCCACTTGAGCAGTGAGAGGCCAGGATGTGCCAGGTGAACATTGGTTACGGTGGCTGCATTCCTTGGGCGAGCCCCGAACAGCTGCAGCTCAGCGTGCTGGGCATTTACAAAAGTCAACCTCTTCCTTCAGATGAGCCTGTCTGGGATGGGGGAGACTCTGGCCACAAAGCAGCTGTCAGGCACCCCCTTAGCCATGCTTCTAAGTCTCCCCCACATGGACAGGGGCCCAAGGCAGAAGACATTCTGGTCCCAGGCAGGCACAGACTAGGTCACAGGCATGAAGTCTGCAATGCCCAGGTCCCAACGCTACAGGTATTACCCCAGCCAAAAGTTCAGTTTTCACCATTAAAAAGCATCTAGCATTGACAGTTAACAAGGGAAGCTGGAAAACATGGCCTGAGCAGAACGTTTGCAGGGACATCCCTGGAGTGCCTGAATCACTAGCTCTGAGAGGTGTGAATGGGGCAGTTCCTCAAGAGAGTGTAAACAGCAAGACAACTGCTCTGGAGAGCTCCAGCAAAGCCACCCCAAGAGGGCTCAGCCAGCCAACTCCCCCACCCCAAGTACTCCAGGGGGATGCCAGGCTACCACCCCGACTCTGTGGGAGAACCCAGCTGAAACTGCCACTGACTATTGTAGCCTTTATCTGCCATCAGAACTCCATGTGGTGGGGAGCTAGATGGCCTTACAGTTCCATGAACATGCAGAGTTGGGGAGGGTGGAGGGGGAAAGAGACTCACAGACAGATCTATAGCAACACTCGAAAGTTACACCTCTCCTCTCCCATAAACATCCTTTTTGTGGGAGCTGAACCACCCCAGAGCAGGGGTAGAATCCTCTCAAATTCTACGAGGGCCTCCGTACCCGATGGCTCATACATCCCTCCAACACACACACAGCCAGACACTACAACAGTTTGATGTGTTTATTCTTCCCCCCGTCAATTATACAAAATATTTTACAATTAAAATTTTTTCCCTCAAATCATATACAGGTATTTATAATTCACAAGATTCAGTTACAGGCTAGGGGGACTTATCTGCACAGAAAATAATCCCCAATTTATTCTACAATGATGGATGATCAAGTAAAAGTTGTTGCCTTCAAGCCAAGGTGCTTTATATTTAGCCAGCTTCATCCTAGTTCCAGGGTGAGCCTCCAAACTCAGCCTCAGGGACTCCTCTCCTCACTGCTGTCTCAGAGCCTCCTCCCACCTCCCAGAGTTGGGGCCCAGTGAGAGACATACCGCACCAGGACACTGCACTGCAAAGTTACTAGCACCTGGAAGAGGTGAGAAAAATATCTATAGGCCTCAAAGTGATCCAGCCACCCATGGCGGTGTGGGCCTGCATGCTGAGCCGGAAGAGACCTAGGGTTAGCAGCCCAGGCACTCGGCTCCCACAAGCAGGTTGGCTGGGCAACGCAGCACTTGAACGCAATCTCACATCCACACCCACTTATGCAGGCAGTCTCAGCTGTACAGCACTGTGCTGGCAGGGCGGCCCGTAAGCAACAGGTGCTGCTAAGGGGCAGAGTCACAAGTGCAAGCTTGTGGTTTTATCTTGTAAGGAGTGGCCCTGGTGCGTTTCTATTTCCCCTTCCCTTCCATCCCGCAGGACTTGCTCCCCCATGCCAGCAGCTCATGTTGCTGCACAGAGCCAGCATCCAGTGGCGGGGGGCGGGGGGGTGCCATATGTGCTGCTCACAGATGCGCAGGCCGCCAGAGGTGGGTGAGAGAAGTCACACTGTGCCACGGGAGCGCCTACAGAATAAGCAGCCAGGGGTCTGCCCCCAGCAACCGCAACCGAAGGGCAGATCTGAAGAGGAGACGTGCAGCAACCCCCGTACACGTTTGTTTTTCAAAAGGGGCGTGTGGAACACGACTGCTGATCTGGGCCCTCCCCGCACTCGCAAGGGAGCCCATCCAGGAGTCACTGCTGGAGGCCAAAGGCCTGGAGCAGGGTGGGAAGGTCCCGTGTATCGGCTGCCTGATACAGATCACTCTGGCCCAGCATGGAGAGGGCCATGCGCAGGGTGCTCCAGATGTTGTCAGACATGGCGCCCTGCTGGCCCCGTGGGCCCCGGCTCTTCTGCTGCATGTGCAGGGCCTCCAGGAAGTGCTCCACTGCCTCGCTGCCAGCATGACCAGGGAGGGAGACAGAAACAGTCACAGATAGGCAGGGGACAGCCAGGAGGGGGGAAGGAAGGACCCACTAGATACCCTCTCTGAACAGCTCAATAATCACCTTCCCACATTTCCTCCTGCCATTCCTCCTACCCCTGCTCCTCACACACTGCATCACAGGCCAGGGTCCAAGCTGTGACGGACGTGGCTCAACAGCCCCACCTCCAGGCACATGTTGGAAGGCAACAAAAGCCTTCCCATGCTTCTGAGATGCTCCCTTCCTTTGATATTGGGAGCCAAGAGGGTGGGCGTCACATCGGCTGGCACGCTGCACCTGGGGCAGGCAGACACGCTCTGCTCCCTCTTTGCCAGGGTTAAGCAGAGTATCCTGCACCCAAGTGGCAAACCTCCACCAACAGCCACTCGCTCCCTTCCTCTCCTCCCCACAACACACTGACAGGCTCCCACTGATGTTCTGCTCATAGCAGACCTTGCTCCCCCCTTGTTCCCACTCACCGATGTGCCCCCAGATTGATGCAGCTGATGCCCAGGTTGTAGCGGGAGCGGATGTAGCCTGGCTGCAGCTCCAGTGCCCGGCGATAGGCAGCCACAGCCTCCTCGCTGCGATTCCCATTGGCCAGCGTGGCACCCAGCTTGTTCCACAGCAGGTGATCCTGGAAAGGGGTGTGGCAGGAAGCAAGTGATGGAGGCATCAGGCATCTTACATCCCAATGGGCCTGTGCTTCATAGCCCTCCTCACGTCCCATAAGCTTCCATCCACTCTCCCTGACTCTTCCCCAGTCCCTTCAGCCCAACCCACTTCCTAGGCTCAGCCTACAACCCCCCAGGGCAGATCCCAGCCCCACCTCCCCCTACACACAATCCTAAGTTAGCCCAACCCCTGCCCCGAACTGCACTCTGTCCCTTACGTTGGGGCGCACGCTCAGCGCAGAGCTGAAGCAGTCCACGGCCTTCTCATACTCGCCGCTCAGGTTAAAGAGGACACCCAGGCCGCACTGCACGTCAGGATCCACGGCCGAGGGGTCACTGCGCACGGCTGCCAGGAACAGGTCCTTCACCTCCATGAAGAGGGAGCTGGGGAGGGAGAGAACAAGGGAACTCACCTGCTGATGGGTGCAAGTCTCCCCCCAGCCCTCTCTGGGGTCATCCTCACTCTAGTGCATCCAGCTACAAGACCACAAGCTGAACTGGGGCATTCTGCACCTCCCGTGTCCCGTCCCATCCCCAGACTCACTCAGACAGTAAGGAGCCCAGGATGCGCTTGGAGGGCCCCAAGTGGCTCCCTTCCAGCTCCTTCCCCACCAGGTGGGCGTAGGCCGGCTTGTGGCGCAGCCAGTCCCGCAGGGTCTCACATGCCTGCTTCTGTAGAGACTCGTTGGTGAAGCTGACAGCCAAAGCCATGAGTGCAGTCAGGTTCCCTGGCTGCAGCTCCAGGCACCTGCAGGGGAGAGGGGAGAGCACATGGCATGCACATTGTGGGAGACAAGGATAGGCAGCTTTAATGGCTCTTTAAGAGCTCGTGACAACTAACAGCAAACTCCAGTATCCAGGCAAGTTGATGAAGGACCCATGAGGGGGCAGGAGCCCTGGCCTGGGTCAGAAAACAGCTCTCCACAGCAGCCAACAGGCCACAGGGAACCCATCTTACAAGTTTGCTTTTGATGCAGGTAAAAAAGCACTGGAGCTTTGTTCAGCCTTTAAGCAGGGCAACCAACATGAGGCATTTCATGAGTGGCCAGCAAGCCGTCCTTTGGGGAGCCATGAGCAGAACCCAGGAGTCCTGCTTTAGATCCCCTCTTTAGGAGTTACTCACCGCCGGAGGGCACTGATTGCAGACAGCTCTTGTTCATTCTCTGCTTGGGTGGTTCCCAGGTACTGCCAGGCCTGACGCAGAAACAGAGACAAGTTTATTTATACTACTTTAGAGCAAGAGTACGAATGAGAGACCATTTTGTACCCTCAGCCCCTTTTCTGGGGATTAAAAATAGATGTACTCAAGTCAGCAGCCTCAACCCACACCACAGAGCTTGTGTTAACCACCCCCTCAGGAGCCACCACTTCTCCCACACTCCCCAGGAAAACAGATGGGCTCTGCGATGCATCCTGGAAATCAGGTTTGGGCTCATGGACACAAGGAGGGGCAGCGAGTTCATCCATTCCCCCCCCCAACATACAAATACCCCATGCTACCAGCAGTCTCCTCTCTGCTAAATCCGGGTGCTCTAGCTTTAGCACCTCCATGCATCACAGCCAGGACTATGCTACAGGGTGAGGAAGAAAGAAACATGTTGCAGGCCACTGAGGACTTCAGATAGATAGCACAGCCCACTGGACAGGATTTTGGAGTAGGAATGCTAAGAGATAAGACTCAGTTATGAGCAACCTGCCGTGGTCCACAGGAGACTCATGACACGATCAACAGTACTCAGACAGCGGATGGATCTAAATGTAGTAGCATTGACATGGATTTGACCTTCATTCATCACCAGACCACCTATTCACTTAGTCAGCATAACCTCCTTGCTGCCCCCTGCTGCCCCGACTGACTAGGCTTAAAGAGGTTTAAATCAACTATCTATTATGAGCTGTGTCACCCTCCACCCACAGCATGCACCACTGTCTCACCCAGAAATGGAAAGTTTGTTCCTTGCTGACAGCTGGCTGGACTGCAGGTCTGAAGTGGCAAGCATGAGCCATACAAAAGTTCCCTTGAGCAGGAAATATTAATCTCCACCAGCAATTGACCCGGCCACTTGTTAATGGCTCTCTCAAGGCAGCACAGGAGATGACCAAGTATCCACATCCCTCCAGGGCCAGTCTGCCCCCAGCAGGGAGACTCTAGCAGAGCTGACTGAACAGGTGTCTCTGCAGAGCACTGCCCTGTCGCCAGGGTAGCAGAGTTTCACCCGCATCTCAGTTTCATCCTCACAGCAGGGCTCAGATCTGCCTCCTGCCAGGGCTTTGCAGATGCTAGGATGAAGGCAAAGCATCCCTCCTTGCCCCCTGCACAGCTGTAGCATGCCATGCAGAATGGGCCCCAGACTTCCACGCTGCTATCCCAGCAACATTGCCTCTCACTCTGTCACTGGCCCTCCCAAGTCTAAGCCTTGGCAACTCATGAGGAGAAAGCCAAGGAGGCAGGTGCCTCAGAGGCCACACGGCCACTGGCAAGGCCAAGAGCCCATAGTCCAATCACACACTGGTGGAGTGGCGTGCTCATTATCCTCAGGTCTTCCAGTTCCACTGACGACAAGCAGATTGTCAGAGCTCATCCTTCACTCTGCCCTGCCCTCAAGCCACAGAAGAGGATGATCTGCCAGGGTAAGCTCTGGTAAGAGCTTACATGGGTAAGCTCTCCAATTACCCAAACTCTAGTCCAAATCAGGCATGAGGCCCGCTGTGCTGAACCAGACACCTAGGATCGACCCCCACAGCTATCAAGTCCCCAGCTTGCTTTAAAAAAAAAAAAAATCAGCATGCGTGTGGCTGTTGACAACATGAAGCATAACCAACCTCATGAGTCCAATGCCACCATGGAAAGGACTTCAGCGGCTCACGCAGCGAGGCACACAGCTACCCTAGAGATTACATCCCCAAATTCTAACCTGCTCCGGGTCGGGTGATCTGCACCATAGATCAGGCCAGGTGCACACAGTCTAAGCACCTTCTCAGTGAGCCCCTGGGATTCCCGTAAAAGTACATAGCCAGAGTTATACACCAGACAACTGGGGTCAGCCACACCACCCTCTGCAGCATAGCTCCCCAGCACTGGAGTAGGGGACATTGCAACCCAGGCCGTATCTCTGGGCAGGGGCCTTGTATTATGTTCATGAAAGTCCTCATTAAGATCAAGTTCTGCCCCACAGGGGCAGGCTAGTCCTCTCCCCTCCCCCTCCCCCAGCCCATTTAGCTCCTGAGGAGCTGGGGTGACTGCCCTGGAGAACGTGAACATCCCCCGAGAAGCACTGCCCCCGAGGGAGGTTGTCACACACCAGTACAAGCTGTGCCTGCCAGAGACTGAGTGACAAATCAGAGGCTTCTGGCATAAAAGGCAAAGTTTAACAAGATTCGAGGCCTCCATCTGGACTCAACAAATGAGCAGGGCCTTCATGCCAAGTGAGGCCAAGCCTTGTGAAATGGCCTAACTCTACCAGACTCCCCTGGTGGAAGGTGGGCAATGTGCTTAGCAAGCAGATAAGAAATGTTATTGTGTTTTCTCTAACTCTTTTGCCCTGGAACAGGTGCATTTTGCTTTGGAAGCGCTATGTGATCACAGGTGAAACACTGCTGTGCTTGGGGAGGCAGCAATGCAGAGGCACTGGTTAGGAAGCAGACTGCCTTGCAGGGAGATCAGTGTCTAGTAGGGAACAGTGCAGTTAGAAAAGAGCAGGTGAAGGCTAGAAACCTGAGATCAGGCAGAGCCCACCTGGAGTGGGACACGGAGGGGAGGATACAAGATCAGTTGCTTTGAAACGGTGACAACGGGGTCGCCCCCCTCCTAGACCGACCCCGCCTGACCTTGCTTAGGGAGCTGGGCCCGGCTGCAAGTGGCAGGATACCTGGAGCAGACCTGCTTTTCTTGCTTCGCTCACCTCCATGTGGTCAGGGTTCTGCTGCACAGCAGCCTCAAAGAGCAGGACAGCATTGGGGAGGTCGCCTTTCTCCAGGCACTTCAGCCCCTCTTCAAATGCCTGTGGATGATCCCTCATGGGATTGTCCTCCTCAAAGTGGTAACCCTACCAGAGACAGCAAGCCAAGGGTTACCACTCTGGGCAGGGTTCAGAAATGGCTGGTGTGTGCCCACGTGCCATATCAACACTTCTGCAAGCCCCAAGCCATCTCTACCCACCCCTCTCTGCTCCAATCGCCAGCTCCTGCCAGGGCTGACAGAGTTGGTTCCTCAGCACCTGGCACTTCTTCTAGAGAGCACAGGGGTGAAGTGGCCAAATCACAGCGGTCTAGGGCACAGCAGCTGCTACCCCCTCATTTGGGTGTGGCAGATCCGCAAATTCTGGTGCCCCACCCACCCCTGCAGCCTGCAAAGAGATGCATCAGTTGCACAGGGTTGTGTGTGAACATTTACCAAAATTAGGGAGTCTTCATCAGTGTTCCCTGTAAGCTCAGTGCGAGGGGAACCACCCAGAAGAGAGCTTCAAATGCTGCCCAGCTGATTAGCAGCGTGCCCACAGCCAGTAGCATCTCTTGCTACTATTGGTGAACAGCCGCACAGACCTTAGTGCGCATCAAATATATTCCATACATGGATGGAAAAAAAAGAGGAAACATTGGTCTCCATCAAGACAGGGGTCACAGAAAGCAATGGCCTGGTTGGGAGGGCACCACAATTAACTGCTGGTGGTGAACAGCCGCACAGACCTTAGTGCGCATCAAATATATTCCATACATGGATGGAAAAAAAAGAGGGAACATTGGTCTCCATCAAGACAGGGGACACAGAAAGCAATGGCCTGGTTGGGAGGGCACCACAATTAACTGCTGGTTTGCATTTTCAGCAGTGGGCGGGGCTTCGAAAAAAATACACTGTGGTTCTTGTCAGTCTGACCTCGCTGGTTTGCATTTTCAGCAGTGGGCGGGGCTTTGAAAAAAATACTCTGTGGTTCTTGTCAGTCTTGTGGTCAGAAGTCTTGACAGAGACTCTCAGCAGAGCCCCACCGCTGCCCGGACAGGCTGGCTGTGCTGAGCACCGCCAGGGCTGTGAGGCTAAGAGGATATCCCAGCAGCACAGAGACCTTCCAGCAGGCCTCTCAGTTCCCAGCCTGGGAGAAGGGATTTTGAGAGCTCTCAGAGTGGCCCAGCACAGCGCTAGGACTCACGTTTGCTGCCATCCCATTACCTTGTCATAAGAGGAGGTACTGAGGTCCTCATAATCGGAGAGCCAGGGGTGAGCCTCTGCATCCCGCTTGGCCATCTCTTCCCACTCTGCCTGCAGCCTATCCCAGAAATCCACATCTGACTGAAGAGAGGAAGAGGAGGGGGTTAAAGGCTAGCACCCCGTTGATCTCCCCCTGCACATTCCTTGGAGATTTCTCCTTTAGGGCTCTGAGCCTCCCTGTTCATTTCTCCCCTACATGGCACGAAAAGGGGGCTCAGCCAGTTCTGGGGCCCTATAGCACCCTTCACATCCCAACCTCTCCTCTCTGGTTTTACCTCAACAGCAGTCTTGGCCTGCTCAAATTCTGTATCCAGAGCTGGCACGTTCCCAGTTCGGGTAAACTGATCCACCCATGCATCAGACGCTCCCTAGAGAGAAGGAAATAAAAGGGAGCACCTTGAAATTGCAAGAATTAAAAGCAATGCTATGCATATCTCCCGCCAGCAGGAGGTGCTGTAAGACCCCCTCATTCTCTGCAAGATACTGCAATGAAGCAGACACATTCTGGATTCTCCCACCTGCCAAGACATCACCATGAAAAGGTTCACATTGCCAGAGGCCATCCCTGCACCTAGCTAGGCACAGCTTTGGAGAAGCTCATGCTCCTGGAGCCCCATGCCACCCATGGCTGTGTATTAACAGGGCACAGCTGAGAGAAAGTTCACCCTCCTGTTGTCCTCTCCCTCCCACAGGCTGGGCAGCACTGCAAGGAAGTTTGCACATCTGTGAGCAGCTAGGGCTCAGGTCCTACCTGCTGCTGTATAAACTCAGATGCCCACTGCTCTGCCTGATCCTGGTCTCTGGGGGTCAGGGTCACCTGATTAGCCTCGATCGACACCCTCCCGTCTCCGATCTGGCGAACAAACTTTAGGAACTGTGGCAAAGAAATGAAATGTGGGAAGAGACCTTCACCAATAACCCCTACTCAGCTGCCCATTCACACATACCCCGCCCTATAAGCTAACCAGATCTGGGCTCTCAGAATCAACAGACCCAGAAGGGAAAGGGAATAAAATATGCCAGTTTCACCAGGGTTGTGTGGTGGAAGACATGAGCTTGGGGGATGTAGGGCTCACCCCTTGGAACTCAAAAGAGAAAGGAGGGAGATGCAGAATGGCAGGAGGTCACCCCCACACACCTTGGTGAGGCTTCATGGCATTTCTCACCTCAGAGTTGTTGAGTTTGGGGTCATCCACTTTAGAAAGGAAATCACTGGCAGTCTTCTTAAGATCATCCTCAGGTTGATATTCTTCGTACCTATCAACCAGAGAGAGATAAGAACGGCCACAATGGGTCAGACCAAAGGTCCATCGAGCCCAGAACCCTGTCTGCTGACAGCAGCCAACAAAGTTCCCTCTATGGTGTGTGCACCAAGAATTTGAGGCCTGCCCACATCTTCAGCAGAGCCACGCAGGAGCAGCAGGGCACCCACCACGTGGCCCTGGCCCTAGCTTCAGCCCTTCCCCAGAGCAGGCGCTGCAGACCACGTGGCAAGTGGTGGCTGTGCCGGCAGCTCCACTTTTCATGGGAGAAACTGGGAAGCAGACAGCACAGAGGCATCCTTGGCAGAATAGAAATGTTTTCAAGTTTCCTTTTGTAATAGTATATTAAAAAGGCAGGAAAATAGAGCTTTGTGTTCTAAAATGGAGCAGCCTGAAGACTAAGAACAATTGGTAAGTGTCTAAATAATGATACCAGAGGGGGGAAATCAGCATACAAGTGGTTTACAACGTGGAAAGCATGTATAAAAATAATGAGGTAGCATATGAATTAATCAGATATATTGTTCAACTGATGCAAATCTAATCAGATTCTTATAATAGCTCAAGTGGTAAAGTGTTCCTTGGGTGAAAGCAATGCTATTCCAGTGACATTAATATTCTACCATTTTACCAAGTGATAAAATGAGGGTACTTTATTAAAATTGTACAATATTTTTCCTTGTATCCTGAGAGATTTGATTGCCTTTGGTATAGTCCGTTTCACTCTTAATAATATTGATTCTGCTGTACATTTTCCTCACATTTTTAGAGCTAGTTTCTTGATTTGGAACTTACATTTTATTGCAACTGACAACATAAAAGTCAGGTTTTAAGAAACTGTATTATGATCATTACATTTTCCCTACTGAAACTTAATGTGCGTGTTACACTGGGAAAAAAACTGCTTAGTTGAGGAGTTCGGAGAGAAGAAAAGTGCTCTGAGAAAAGTTTTGAGAGTTCATTTTAAAATCTTATAAATATAAAACTTTCAATATATGTGAAGGGCTTCTAAGGACCACTTGAGGATTGTTAGTTGCTTTACTACGTTTTTGAAGACATGTTTCAGCTACCAGTGTTTTGCCACTGATCCTGAAAAATAGATCTGGGCTTAATTTTACTCACATATGATGTCAGCAGCACTGCTTATGCATGAAGTTAAGCATGTGCTTAAGTAGTTTGCTGATTAGGGGTATTAAACTTTTGAATCTCACAATAACATAAGACCTGCTCAACTTGAAAACCAAAAATTCCTTTCACAAACCTAATGAAAATCAGAACTTGAAGTAAGCAAGCAGCATGATCAGCATCTTCACAATTAGAATCCAATGCTCATGCTTCCAGACAAAGAAAACAATAGAAGGGCAACTTTAATAGTTATACTGTATATTAGCATAACAGCTATATTACCTCCCTAGTCTAACTAGTTAAAACTCTCTGCAAGACTGAGCCAGGTGATGTTCGTATTCATATGTCTCACATGCCATCTAACCGTTTTTTCTCCAGTGCAATTATTTTTAGTCCAACACACTATAGTTCCTGCTTACTGTTTATGATGGGCAAACCTCAAAATGGTGCAATTTAAATTCTGATCCTTCTCTGCTCAAATTCTTCATCCTGTTCACAAAATGAGTCAGTACTGTCTCTTTACGTATACAGATAAAAGAAAGGAAACACATTTAGAACTCACTCTGGAGATAGTGTTTGGGTGCCTATAAAAAAGTTGTGTTTAAAAAAAAGTTGTGCAATATTGACCAGATGCAAGTTCTGCTTTAGGGGATATCCAGTCTCAGTTTTAATTGCTTCCACACAAAAATTGTTAAATTGCCCTTTGGTGTAATTTCACAATTCATTTCAGTGTGTTTTTACAATCCTGTCTCATTGCAATACAACAAGAAAGGCACAGTGGTGTTGGAATAATTGATGTCCTTAGTGAAGAAGCCTCACCGCAGCCCCAGTTCCAGCAGCCACCACCCAGCAGGGCTGCTCTGTTGCAGGGCCGGCTTTAGGGCAGAGCAAACTGGGCCCATGCTCAGGGCACCACAGCCAGAGGGTGAGGGGCAACTGAGCAATGGTGCTGCTGGGCAAAGGAGGTGGAAGGTAGTGGGCAGGGGGCAGCGTGTCAGGACATGCTGGAAGTGCAGGGTGGGTGTTGGGATGAAGGGAGCACTGTGCAGAAGTTCGGGGTAAAGGGGACACAATACAGGGTTAGTGGTAATGGGTGCACAGGATAGGGGTGCAGGAATTGTGGAGACCATGGATGCAGGGACGGTGGGAGTGAGACTGGGTGCCAAGCTGGGTGGGTGCAGGGTCATGAACCTTGTTAATTATTCCTTGTTTTAGTATTATTTCTTCCATAACAATTTAAATGATACACACTTTTTTTTTTGGTTAGTAACCAGTGGGTGCCACAGTGGCACACATCCAAACAAGCACACATGACATCACTATTGGTGCACAAGCAAAGCGCACTCTGCTCACGGATGGAGAATCTTAGATGGAACACTGAAAATCCAAAGGGAATGAATGGAACAGGTAATAATGTGATCCCTCCTGTCGCCCATTCCCAGCTTCTGGCGTTCAAAGGCTGGGGACTCCATTCCTACCCATCCTGGCTAATCGCCAATATTGATGGACCTACCTTCCATGAATGTATCTCGTTATTTGTTTAAACTAGTTATAATCTAGACCTTCACAACTTCCTCTGGCAAGGAGTTCCACAAACTGACTGTGTGAAGAAATGATTTTGTTTTAAATCTATTGTCTCTTAATTTCATTGAATGATCCCTAGTTATTGTGTTATGAGTAAATTGCACTTCATCTACTTTCTCTCCAACACTCATGATTTTATGGACCCAATTATCTCTCACTTGAAGTGGTCTCTTTTCCAAGATGACAAGTCCCAGTCTTATTAATATCACCTCATATCGAAGCTGTTACTCTCTCTTTTTTTTGGCCCTTTTCTGAATTTTTTCCAATTCTAATGTATCTTTGATAGGATGACCACATCTGCATACAGTATTCCAAATCTATGGTTCTCACACATTTTTAGAGGCAATAGGATATTTTCCTCAGATTACACATATTCCTTTCTTAATGATTCCCACTGACAAGTTTGCTCTTTTGACTGCCGCTGCATGTTGAGTGGATGTTTTCTGAGAACTATCCACAATGACTCTAAGATCTCTCTTTTGAGAGCTAACAAGTATTTAGAACACACTATTTTTATAGATATAGTTGGGATGATATTTTCCATTTGAAGGGGACAGATAGCTCAGTAGTTTGAGCATTGGCCTGCTAAACCCAGGGTTGTGAGCTCAATCCTCGAGGGGGCCATTTAGGGATCTAAGGCAAATCTGTCAGGGATGGTACTTGGTCCTGCCATGAGGGCAAAGGACTGGACTCAATGACCTCTCATGGTCTCTTCCAGCTCTATGAGAAGGGTATACCTCCATATTTATTTATTGTGCATTATTTTGCATTTATCAACATTGGTCAACAAAATGGCAGGTGAAATTCAGTCATCTAGTTCTGAGAGATCCTTTTGTAGTTCTTCCCAGTCTAATGGGACTTAACTCGAGCAGTTTTGTATCATCTGCAACTTTTGCCACCTCACAGTTTACCCCTTTTCCCACAGCATTTATGAATGTGTTGAATAGGATTAGTCCCAGTTTGGATTCCTAGGGGACACCCCTATTTACATCTCTCCATTCTGAGAACTGATCATTTATTCCTACTCTGTTTTCTATCTTTTAGCCAGTCAAACCATGACACGACCTTCCCTATTATCCCAGGACAACTTACTTAGATTTTCAGAAAGCCTTTGACAAAGTCCCTCACTACCAAAGACTTGTAAAGTAAGGATGTTAAGAGGCAGATAATGTACTAATCATGTACGAGATAAATTATATTGACAACACGATTAGTTGATAAGGGAAAGCGCTCTTTCCCAGCTTACGGTTCAGGAGCTACCCCCACTGCAGTTCTGCACTTTAAATGTAATGTAGTAAGAGCTGCTTGGGCTCCTACTACATTTACAATGCAGTACTGCAGCAGTCCCAGACTGGCACGAGCCAGGACTGAGCCAGACCTGCTCAGTCAGCAGCAGCCAGCCCCAGCTGCCACAAACAGGAGCTGCTGCCGGAGCAGCCTCTGCCCATGGTGAGCCTGGGACTACTGCAGGCAGAAGCTGGCTCAGAGCAGCCTCTATTCCCTCACTTCTGCCTCTGATAGCAGCAGCAGCACAGGGGGCAGTGCAAGTGGCACCACAGAGATGGTGCTGGGAGGGGCGGGGGGGAAGACTGGCTTAAGCTGGCTCTCCCCAGCACTGGCTCTTGTCCCCCCCACTCCCACCTTAGTGAATAGTTGACTTGACTACCTGATAAGTTTAGGGTTATCGAGTAGTCGGCTACTCAACTACTTGCTTACATCCCTAAATCTATGTACACTATATCCACTGGATCCTCCTTGTCTGCATGCTTGTTGACCCCTCCCCCTCAAAGAACTCTAGTAGATTTTTGGTAATAGGAAACCCTGCCTCACCACTATGTTGACTCTTCCCCCTTCAAATTATGTTCATCTATTTGCCTGACAATTTTGTTCTTTAGTACTAGACAAAATGGTTGAAACTACAGTAGAGTCAGGACTTACTAGACTAATTGCTGGGATCACCTCTGGAACCCTTTAAAAAAAAAAAAAACTGGCATCACATTAGCTATCTTCCAGTCATTTGGTACAGAATCTGATGTAAATACTAGTTTATAGACTACAGTTTGTAGTTCTGCACTGTCACATTTGAGTTCCTTCAGAACTCTTAGGTGAAAGCCATCTGGACCTGGTAACTTATTGTCAGAACTCTTAGGTGAAAGCCATCTGGTCCTGGTAACTTATTGCTGTTTAGTTTATCAATTTGTTCCAAAACCCCCTCTAATGACATCTCAATCTGGGACAGTTCCTCAGATTTGTCACCTAAAAAGAAGGCCACAGGTTTGGGAATCTTTCACATTTGCAGCCATGAAAACTGATGCAAAGAATTTGATTAGCTTCTCCACAGCCACCTTATTGTCCTTGAGTGATCCTTTGTTTCTTGATCATCCAGTGGCCCCACAAAGTCTGATCTGAAACTTAGCAGCTGTGGGCTTCATGTTTATTCACAGTCTGCCCGTCTCTCTGCATAACGCCACATTACACAGTCCCCAGGCAGAAGAACCTATGACTGGGAATGTCCTTAGACACACATGAAATACATGGCTGTACTCTTATATGCCCACAACTACTGCAGGGCTTGTCCCTGCCCCATCCCCCCTGTGCCCCTCTCAGCCAGCAGAGAGCTCCCCGCTGCCAGACTGCAGGCAGAGAGAAACCCTAGTCTCTGCAGCTCCCCTTTGGCCTCAGGGAAGCCTTCTGCTCCCTGCAGCTTACTGGGTCCTGAGCAGGAGGGAAGGAGCAGGAAGAAAGACCCAGACCCCTGGCAGGAGCCATGGGTGGTGGTGGGGGGAGAGAAGAGATCCCATGCAGAGGGAGAAAGGGAAAGGCCCCAGAAAGGAGCTGCACAGACTGGCTTTCAGTTACACAACTATTCAATAATCCACATGAGCAAGGCCGGCGGCCAGCATGCTCCTGGCCAGCAAGGGGATCCAGTTTAAAAATCAGCTCCCCATGCAGACTGGGTGCCCGCTGCCCCGTACTGCTGCCTCTGATACAGCGCAGGGTGGCAAGGGGGAGGGGCCCTCTGAGCTTCCTGTGGACAGAGGCTGGTCCGCAGCAGCAGCCCCTGTTCACTGCAGAGGGTCTAAGCTTTGAGAGGGGCTGCTCCGTGGGATGCTTGAAAGCTGGCTCCCCATGCATATCAGCTCTAGACAGCCTGCCCCTCTCACTTCACGCTGTTGCCTCTAGTAGAAGTATATCAGCTCTAGACAGCCTGCCCCTCTCTCACTTCACGCTGTTGCCTCTAGAAGAAGGCACAGTGCAGGGGAGATGTGGAATCACCTCCGCAGCATGTCACCCTTTGGGCCCCCCTCTCTCAACCGTGAAACCCCTGAGTTAGATGCCTGTCTGCCTAACTGCGCATAAACAGCCAGAGGAGGAGGAGGAGGAGAATGTAACGGTACCCAGCTTTTTCCTCTTTGTTGCAGTGATCAGAAAACTCCCCTGGGATGTGGAAGACCAGATTCAATTCCCTGTTCAAACCCTCTCTCTCCACTTGAGTGTGAGAGAAGAGGGTCCTCCCACTTCTTGGGGATATTCTGATGTGGGGCTCCAACAGACTCTCTTGCTGTTCCACTGTGGATAAATGCCACCACCACTGTTTCCAGACAGATTTTTGAATGGAACCTGATGCAGTAGGCAACCTGTCAGGACTTGGGGAAGATACATATTCACCCAGCTAAGTTTGTTAATTGCTTTGGGACTTAGTTGGCGTTTGGGCACCTATGAGGTAGCTATGCACATGCCCAAAGACAGAAACTTAGGAACCTAGGGCACCTTTACCCTGAAAAACTTAAACACTGAATTTAGGCGCCCACGGAGTCTAGCAGGAGTGTAGGTCACAGTGGAGCCCAACACTGAAACATGGGCACCTAAATTTGGGTGTTAGGTTCCTTTGTAAATCTAACCTTCCATTCTCGTGTTATGCAAGAGGTCAGACTACATGATAATGTTCTTTCTGGCCTTAAACTCTAGGGCTATGTCTAGACTACGTGCCTCTACATGCCTCTGGCGACAGAGGCATGTAGATTAGGCTACCAGGCATAGGAAAATGAAGTGGCGATTTAAATAATCGCCGCTTCATTTAAATTTACATGGCTGCCACGCTGAGCCGATCAGCTGTTTGTCGGCTCAGCGTGGTAGCCTGGATGCACGGGTGTTTACGTCAAAGGCATTTGTCGACCACCCAGGTATGCCTCCTGGAATGAGGTTTACCTGGGTGGTCGACAGATGCCTTTGATGTCGACACCCATGCATCCAGGCTAGTCGACAAATGCCTTTGATGTCGAGACCCGTGCGTCCAGACTACTGCGCTGAGCCGACAAACAGCTGATCGGCTCAGCGTGGCAGCCATGTAAATTTAAATGAAGCGGCGATTATTTAAATCGCCGCTTCATTTTCCTATGCCTGGTAGCCTAATCTACATGCCTCTGGCGACAGATGCATGTAGTCTAGACGTAGCCTAGGATACCAAGATCTCCCTATTTATGTAGTTGTGGAAGCCACCAATTTTGGGTGGAGGAGTCTCTGCTTCTTTCCTTTTCAACCAAGGATCTGAGAACTTGGCTGAGACTCAGAAGCTCTGAATTCAGAATGGATTTTTGTCATCTCTCACACCTCACTGTCCCTGGGCATTAGAAGTGGGTGCAGGATAGATGAAGAGAAACTCACCACTTATCTGCCAGTGACTGATCTTCTGTTTCCCCCAGCCACAGTTTCTCCTCTGACTGCTCCAAGTATTCTTCTGCCCACTTGGCAGGAGATACCGACAGAGGGTCTGTACAGGAGATTGAGTGGTGGGAGAAGAGTAAGGGACAAAATAAAAACAGAACACTGTTCAGATAAGCTTAAATTTTAAGCGCCTCCAATTTACAGTTGATTTGCAGTCCAGATTGTAACATTAACAGATGCTTTTTGCCATTTGTTTCTTTAGTTCTGCTTGTTTACTTTGAAATATAACAAGCTTTCGATTCAACTAGCCTATGCAGGTAGATTTCATTTTAGGCAAACTACCAATTTTCTTTCTTTTTAAAGGAAATCTTGGACAACAGCAAACTGGGTTGCTGTTTGCAATGAAGAATTCATTTTCCTGATGCAAATTTCTAGCTCTTCATCAGAGCCTGTCAAAGATCATCATAAATGTTAATTAGATGCCTGTCTCCAACAGGTATATGAAAGAAATAAATATGGATGGTTGCACGGATCAGTGAAAAGCAGCCCCCTCGGGGGTGGGGCATAGCAGCTATTTAACTGCTGCCCAACAGTTTAATGTAGGGATTCAGTTGGTTGAAGTGGAGGGATCTGGAGCAGACTACAGTCCATATCACACCACCTATATGCTGTATAGCCTTGGGCAACTCTTCCCCACCTGGTGCAACAAGCTGGTGCAAATCTCTCAGGACACTCTTATTTCAGTCAAAGGGCATTGTTACGGATGTTAAATATCAGTTACTTGATTAGTCGATTAACCTCATGAATTCTTATCAGTTAGTCAGCTACTCTAGAGTCCCTGGGCAGCCCCTGTCCAGTGGGGGAGGGGTCTGAGCTCCTGGACTCAGCACGAGCCAGAACTGAGACAGGCTGCCTGCTCCTAATACACTTTAAATGCAGAGGCACAGCAGGAGTAGGTCCAGGACCCAGTGCAAGCCAGGACTGAACTGGGATGCTGGCCAGCCTGCTAAAAAATGTGCTGGCTGGGCGTGGGGGGGGGGGGGGGGGCAGAAATGCATGTAGTCTATAGCAGTGGTGCACAACCTGTGGGTCGCAGATGTCTTTCCAGGGGGGTCGTGGTGCTTAGATCTGGCCGGCCAGGGGGTGGGCCCAGCAGTTGGTGGCCTCCGCAGTACAGGGGTGACAGATCAAAAAAGGTTGCACACCACTGGTCTATAGCATTAACCTATTAGCTTTTGCTTATCAGTTAAGCGACTACACTATTACATCCCTAGCGTGGATGCTGGTGGCTTGTGATGTGCAGGACCTCAGACTAACTGATCTGGTAGTCCCCTCGGGCCTTAAACACGGACTCTAGATCAGAGTAATTTCACCCCGCATACTGTACCAGTGTGACCCACTGAGGCACGTGCTGCTTGTGAAAAGTGCCCTGAGCACTGTCTGGAGTGTCTCTCTCACATAACAGACAACTCCTACATGGGAGAACAGAGTAGGACATACTACCAGGCAACACACCACCCAATCTACACAAGAGGAGCCTTCACCTGTCACCTCTGCAATGAACTCTTGTGACCAATCAGCTTCATTGTAATCTGCAGAGACATCAGCTGTGGTATCTCCTGTCGCCAGAAATTCCTGGGCCCAGTTCTCAGACAGAGCCAGGGCTGCCACACCTGGAGCTAGGGACAGCAAGAGATGGGGGAGAGTTCAGTGACAAGCCCCAAGTGCCACACCCCCACAAGGATTAAATTCTTGTCTCTTAATCTACAGACACCCCTTGCTCTAGCTAAGCAGGCTTTTTAAATTCAGTCCCCCTCCAGACATACCACCTCACGGGGAGGTGTAGGTAGGGGTTGCAGAAGCCCCAAACTCTATCTCCACCACCTCACCTCGTTGCGGGGCTTGGCGGAAGCTTGACTGCTCAATCTCCTGCATCTCAGCCAGCAGATCATCCATTTTAAAGGTGTGTGGGGCACGGGAGAGTAGGGGGGCATTCTGTTCTTGTAGGAATTCTGCAGCCAGCTGTCAGGGAGAGAGAAAGAGTGGGTGAGGGGGAATACCCAGCAGAGACTCTGGGACAGAAAACAGGAGAAAAGGAAGGGAGGAAAGAGTGAAGAGGAATCAAGAAAATGTGGCAGTAAGAAAGGTGATATGGAGAACAATACAGTTATTCTTACCTCATCTTCAGAGGCCACTCCCAAAGGTTTGGAGACCTGTGGGAAAAGTAGGCAAACAATCACCCCAGCGGTGGGACCTTGCCTACAGCATCAGTCACCCATTATGATGGGAATGATATGACACCCCCCACACATAGCAGGACCAAAATCCCACCTAGGCAGACCCACTCTATGGGTGAGGCAGCCACCATATCTCCCCTTTCTGGGCAGACCTCTGCTGTGACTGGACATACATCCCCTCACCACCACCACCACCACTACTACTTTAACTAGTGATTCCACAAGCAGCCTCCACAACAGGGATAGGGCAACCAGACTCCCTGCCTCCCCACTCCCACCTGCTCTGATAGCCTCCCCTGTCCTCAGACCCTCACTCCTCCTTCCCCCCCCCCCCTCCATC